ATAAAATTAGGGACAGTGTCTGACAGACCAACCTGCAAATGTTCTCTATGTTATTGTTATTGTTATTGTCCATTGTATGGTTATCTTTACCCTTGATTATTGTTGTTACTGATTAATCACCTAATTCCAAAGTACATATACACTACCGGTCAAAAGTTTTAGAACACCTACTATTTCAAGAGTTTTTCTATATTTTTACTATTTTATACATTGTAGAATAATAGTGAAGACATCAAAACTATGAAATAACACATATGGAATCATGAAGTAGAATAGACACCCTTTGCCTTGATGACAGCTTTGCACACTCTTGGCATTCTCTCAACCAGCTTCACCTAAGGAATGCTTTTCTAACAGTCTTGAAGGAGTTCCCACATATGCTGAGCACTTGTTGGCTGCTTTTCCTTCACTCTGCGATCCGACTCATCCCAAACCATCTCAATTTGGTTGAGGTCGGGGGAATGTGGAGGCCAGGTCATCTGATGCAGTGACTCCATCACTCTCCTTCTTGGTAAAATAGCCCTTACACAGCCTGGAGGTGTGTTGGGTCATTGTCCTGTTGAAAAACAAATGATAGTCCCACTAAGCCCAAACTAGATGGGATGGCGTATCGCTTCAGAATGCTGTGGTAGCCATGCAGGTTAAGTGTGCCTTGAATTCTAAATAAATCACAGACAGTGTCACCAGCAAAGCACCCCCACACCATAACACCTCCTCCTCCATGCTTTACGGTGGGAAATACACATGCGGAGATCATCCGTTCACCCACACCGCGTCTCACAAAGACACGGCGGTTGCAACCAAAAATCTCCAATTTGGACTCTAGACCAAAGGACAAATTTCCACCGGTCTAATGTCCATTGCTCGTGTTTCTTGGCCCAAGCAGGTCTCTTCTTATTATTGGTCTCCTTTAGTAGTGGTTTCTTTGCAGCAATTCGACCATGAAGGACTGATTCACACAGTCTCCTCTGAACAGTTGATGTTGAGATGTGTCTGTTACTTGAACTCTGTGAAGCATTTATTTGGGCTGCAATTTCTGATGCTGGTAACTCTAATGAACTTATCCTCTGCAGCAGATGTAACTCTGGGTCTTCCATTCCTGTGGTGGTCCTCATGAGAGCTAGTTTCATCATAGCGCTTGATGGTTTTTGCGACTGAACATAAAGAAACTTTCAACGTTTTTGAAATGTTCCCTATTGACTGACCTTCAAGTCTTAAAGTAATGATGGACTGTCGTTTCTCTTTGCTTATTTGAGCTGTTCTTGCCATAATATGGACTTGGTCTTTTAGCAAATAGGGCCATCTTCTGTATACTCCCCTACCTTGTCACAACACAACTGATTGGCTCAAACGCATTAAGAAGGAAAGAAATTCCACAAAATAACTTTTAAGAAGGCACACCTGTTAATTTAAATGCATTCCAGGTGACTACCTCATGAAGCTGGTTGAGAGAATGCCAAGAGTGTGCAAAGCTGTCATCAAGGCAAAGGGTGGCTATTTGAAGAATCTCAAATATACAATATATTTTGATTGGTTTAACACTTTTTTGGTTACTACATGATTCCATATGTGTTATTTCATAGTTCTGATGTATTCACTATTATTCTACAATGTAGAAAATAGTAAAAATAAAGAAAAACCCTTGAATGAGTAGGTGTTCTAAAACCTTTGACCGGCGGTGTATGTACATTATTACATCATGCCAATAAAGCAATTTGGATAGAAAAAAATTCAGAGAGAGAGAGAGAGTCACATGATGACTGAACAGTAACCACCTGGATGCATTGTTCAGGGAGCCCGCTGACAACATGGCTATACCTTACACTCTTTGTATGCTGGCATGAGGAAGAGAGAGAGAGACAGCTAGAGAGAGACAGATAGAGATGGGATGTAGGGAGGGAAGGATGAAAGAAGGGATGTGAGAGAACTGGAGACAGAAGTAGATAGAAAAAGAGTGAAAGGGAAGCCTGGAAAGAGGAGCGAGTTACAGAGATAATAGAGTGGAGGATGCCTACCTCTCTCCAGATGGGCAGTGCCCCAGCAGGATCACACAGCAGACAAGGGTGGAGATTAATATAGTCCCAGGCTCTGCTGCCAGCTCCAGGGAGGTAGGCCGCACTCACCAGGTCACCCATACTGTCACTGCACAGGTCCCAAATACTCCCTCATATTATCTGTGTGTGTGTGTGTGTGTGTGTGTGTGTGTGTGTGGTGTGTGTGTGTGTGTGTGTGTGGTGTGTGTGTGTGTGTGTGTGTGTGTGTGTGTGTGTGTGGTGTGTGTGTGTGTGTGTGTGTGTGTGTGTGTGTGGTGTGTGTGTGTGTGTGTGTGTGTGTGTGTGTGTGTGTGTGTGTGTGTGTGTGTGGTGTGTGTGTGTGTGTGTGTGTGTGTGTGTGTGTGTGTGTGTGTGTGTGTGTGTGTGTCTAACCTGATAGCACGGGTGATGAGTAGAGGTGACAGAGGAGACGAATGCTGCAGAGCGTCTTTTGCATGGCTGAAGACTGACTAGTTATTAAATTGCGCTCTCTCGCTCTCTCTCTCTCGCTCTCTCACACACATACACACACACACACACACCTGCTGCTCACACTGCATCATGAGATTCAGTAAACTTTGCACCTCTTGTCTGTTTTATGGCTGTTCGTTACGAGGCTGTAAGAGGAAACAGTGGGTTGTTCTCATGTATGTTTAGTTATTTACTTAGTTAGGAACTTGGATGCTCTTGGTCAACGTATACAATATGTATTTTATATTTACTCAAATATGATATTTTAGACACTAGGAAGTGGGCCGGGTTCTCTGTGGCTAGGAATACTGCAAACCTTAATGGATCGTTTAAGGGAACTTTTTCTAGAGTTGTGGGCCTCTGCAACCACAGGACAATCTCAGGACAACGTTAGGACAACCTCAGGACAATGTTAGGACAACCTCGGGACAATGTTAGGATAACCTCAGGACAATGTTAGGACAACCTCGGGACAATGTTAGGATAACCTCGGGACAATGTTAGGACAACCTCGGGACAATGTTAGGACAACCTCGGGACAATGTTAGGATAACCTCAGGACAATGTTAGGATAACCTCAGGACAATGTTAGGATAACCTCAGAACAATGTTAGGATATATATAAATATTTCCTGATCTTTCTTATATCTCCTAGATACAGGACAGACACTTCAAGACCTTATTCTATATTGTATTTTTTTTGCCATTTATGAATATGTTATTCAATGCGTTTCTATGAGCTATATTTAATTATTTAAATGTTTTATTTAACCTTTATTTAACTAGGCAAGTCAGTTAAGAACAAATTCTTCTTTACACTGACGGTCTTTTCCTGTCTAACTCCCACCGTTTCCTCCATATTTCTCTCTCTCTCCCACTGTCTCTCTACTTTCCTCTTTCCCTCAGAGAGACCAGTCTGTAGTCATTAATTAGAGATGACCACTGTCTAAACAGCTCAGCAGTCTGTGGGTCAATACAGACTGATGGTCAGGTTAAAATGTGCTTTTTAAGTGGATTAATAGCAACGTGTCTGTGTGTGTGTGTATGTGTGTGTGTGTGTGTGTGTGTCTTTGGGGTTTTATTTCTTATTTAAGACCAATATTTACCCAGCAGCCCCAGGTTGAGATTACCTCATATCTCCGTCCAGCTGTGCTTTCTCAGCATTACCACGACTACCACCGGAATGTCACAGTTTACCCTCCTGCCAGGACAACAGAGAGAGAGAGCGAGAGAGAGCGATAGAGAGAGAGGTGGGGGGCAGGTCAGGGAGAAGGGGTTAGAGATTAAGGAGAACTACTCAACTTTGAGTGCTGACATACACGCACCTGAACACACATATCTCTCTTACTCAGGCCTCTCCTCTTCTCTCCTCCTCTCCTCTCTTAATCAGGCCTCTCCTCTTTTCTCCTCCTCTCCTCTCTTCCTCAGGCCTCTCCTCTTCTGGCCTCCTCTCCTCCTCTCTTTCTCTGCCCTCCTCCTTTGGCCTACTCTTCACATTTCCTCCGCTCCCTATTTCCTCATCTCCCCTCTTCCTCTCCTTCTCTCCTCCTCTTCATCTACTCTCCTTCTCTCCTCCGACCTCCCTTCAGGCCTATACTGCTGTGTGGATACTGTCCTCCTACCATGGGAACCAGCAGCTATTTACACTCATTTACAACAGAAAGCCTTGTGGAGGATAGTGACAGTTGGGAATGTACTATTTGGTGTCTTTCTCTCTCTGGCCTGTGGAATTGGCAGAAGTATCCTTATTTAGCCTACGAAGTGAAGGAGAGAAAGAGAGCAGACAGCACTGAATGACCCTTGGGTTGGACCGGCTCTCCTCTTCAAAACCCTTGTTGAAGCCTAAAGCGTTCAGACGGACAACACATCTAGGCTCCTGCTCTCCTATCATATCCAACCCAGCTCACAGTTAACTTCTGAAATGGACTCCGTTCAGAAGTATAAGGACATGAAAGGCGTGTGCGCTGAGGGAGAGGAGAGAAGGGACTTATTAAAACAGCAGGACCGCTGACGGTTTGGAGGTTGGACTCGAGCCAAAGAGGAACTCGCCGTGTTGCCCCTTGACAGGATTTGGATACCTCAGGTGGGGAATGGATTAGACAGATTCAAAATCACAACCAGAATATTTAAAAAGATAGAAGCAGCTTTTATCCAATATTCACCTAAAAGGTGTTGATTTTTACTACACTTTTAAGTTAAAATCATGACCCTTTGGCCCAAATGCCTTCCTAGGATTTGAAAATCTAGAATAACGGTAGGATAGATGTCTTCCGCTACACACCGCAGGCCGGCGAACGTGTCCGGTTATCATCAGGCTTAAAGTGAATGGTGGTGGAGTGTTCACCTTCATTGAGCCAGACCCTCATTTACTCACGGCTCAGATTATACATTATTGTACTTGGCTGAATTCCTAAAGTAACATGACTATATATTCATTAACTCCCCTTCCAGACGGACAGATCCTTAAAGATTCAACAGTAGGTATGTGTGTTTTAAATGGAGAGGCAGGGCCGTCTTGGGGACTCTGCGCTGCATGACATTGTCAGTGACATAAACCTCATGGAGATTCACCCAAAGTCTACTTCAGCGTCAAAACAGCTCACAGACAGCTTTCTCCCCGCCAGTGGCTACCGAGACAGGCACACTCCAAAGGGAAAACACCGGACATCACCTGCATGAGACTGCCACAGGGAGCACACTTGCCTATACCTACAGCCCGGGCTGTTTCTCACACACACACACACACCTCTCACACACACATCTCACACACACACACACACACCTCTCACACACACACCTCACACACACACCTCACACACACACACCTCTCACACACACACCTCTCACACACACACTCAACACACACCCTCTCACACACCACCTCTAACACACACCTCTAACACACATCTCACACACACACACACCTCTAACACACATCTCACACACCTCTCACACACACCTCTCATACACATCTCACACACACACACCTCTAACACACATCTCACACACCTCTCACACACACACCTCTCACACACACACACTCACACACACACATCTCACAACACACACACCTCTAACACACATCTCTAACACCTCTCACACACACACCTCTCACACACACACCGGGCGGTCAAAGTGGAGGCGTGTGATCAACGTGGGCTAGCGTCAGGCGGCAAACGTTCGGGAGAGGAAGAGGATGTTCAGTCTGACCGAGGCCTTTGACGAGCTACGGAGGAAAGTGCCGACCTTCGTTTACGAGAAGAGGCTGTCGCGTATCGAGACGCTCCGCCTCGCAATCGCCTACATCTCCTTCATGACGGACCTGTTAGGGAACACCTGACCTGATCAGGATCACATAGATCCATCAGCATGATCAGAAGCAGATCAATTAATCAGACTGGTTAGATTGATTGATGCTTCATCTCACAATCGTCTACATCTCCTGTTAAAGAACCCCTGATCAGGATATATCAGCGTGATCAGAAGCAGATTCAATGATTGATTGATCAGATATTCATTTTATGGCGGACCTATACTGGAAAAAACCTGATCAGGATCTATCTGAGTGATGAGATATCAGACTGATGATACTGATTATATTATATGTTTTTATGGAATATCACATTTTAAGAATGGATCTGTGGTTGTTAACATGTATAAATATAATTTCAGGTAGCTATTTATACTTTTTATAGTGTTGCAGAAATGTGTTATTAACATTATTCTGGAAATAATAATGATCCTACAAACACTTGGGCTCAGTTTACTTTTTAAATGACATGATACTGAGCAAACAACTCGTTTTGTTTTAATAGGTTGAACTGGGTTGATTTGCATGGGTTTAATTATCATGGGAAATCAATGAGAATAGAAAACGTAATTGATGTTATTGAAAAATATGTGGGCTAGGGGAGGCACAACAGCATCCAACCCAAAGAGGTTTGTCTGTAGATAATGAGGGGATCCAGATAGGGACAGATTGTGTTGTCTCATCATCTCTATCTGGTGGTGAGGTGCTAATTGTGTGAGAGGGTTCCAGGGTAGAGTTCATTAGAGAGAGGTGATTAGAGAGATTTACCACTGGGGGAAAGCTACCTCATCAGCCCCTGCGTGCGTGCGTGCGTGTGTGTGTGTGCGCGCGCGTGTGTGTCACAGTAGTTCAGACCATGGAGTTCCTTGTCAGCGACCTAGCCCCCTCTTTTATAGGAGAGTACGTCGCCTACAGGCCAATACAATACCCATGGCCATTTATTATTGAAGGCCTTTCATTATAACCTGATTTATCTCTCTATAGGATACCAACCTCAACTGAAAAGGTAATAATAATAATAATATGCCATTTAGCAGACGCTTTTATCCAAAGCGTAGTTTCTAAAATACATGTCTAATCTTCCTCATGGCCTACCATTCATTCATGAGCCATTTGTTGGGTTAATTGCGTAATTTATTAATAACGGTGGTCTTATGACGAAATCCGAATATAGTTTCGGCCCTTTGTGTGTGTGTGTGTGTGTGTGTGTGTGTGCACGCGCGCGCGCGTGGGTTCGCTCTCTACGCCTTTCCCATCCACGCACCTCCAATGTTTGCATTGCGCTCCAGCCGTCCACGGCATCAGCGACCCGCTGTGAGCTGGGATCCGCCCTGTGAGCTCCCTGGGCCGGCTTGCCTTTTAAACCTGAGACGCTCTGCCGGGGTCCCAGCGGGGGGCAGAACCACTTAGCTGCATACCTTAGAGTAAAGAAAAATAAACAGTCAATCTTCGGCTATGGAAAACCTGCTGTTTACCTTTCTCTTTTCCGATAGAAATGGCTGAAGTTCTCACTGGCTTGTCTTTGTAGCATACAGTGATGCAGAATAGGTTATAGGCTGCGTGGTCCTCTGTAGCTCAGCTGGTAGAGCACGGCGCTTGTAACGCCAAGGTAGTGGGTTCGATCCCCGGGACCACCCATACACAAAAATGTATGCACGCACGACTGTAAGTCGCTTTGGATAAAAGCGTCTGCTAAATGGCATATTATTATATAATATCTGAATCAGCTATTGGCTAGGTCTGTTTTCATGACCTCTACAGGAATTAAGGCAAATTGGACAAATTAAACCTGACTGATTTGCTTAAAGAAATCCAATAAATGTGTGTGGTCTTTTGGACACACCTAATTGCGCATGAGTGCCTTAGGGCAGAACTCGCAGAGGGAGATTTGACAAGCCCCCTAGCCGCTCCATCCCTCCCATTAAGTTATTCAACATCTTGTCCGCTTTGAATACATTAAAATATGCACATTTTACTTTTTAATAGTGACTGTGCTCATACGCAAAACACAAAACATTCTGAAATCATTTCTGGGCGCTCTGGTGTTTTTGGCTCAGAACGTATAACGGACTATGAGCGACCTTTCTCATAACGGAAACTTTCCTCACGGTTCCCACCTTATCCCGCCCACCCACCCCCTCCTGACGTCACCTCACCATCTCACCCAATCACAGCGCTCCCCAAAACCCCGCTCCGAGCGCTGCACGGTTATAAAGATCTCCAACCGGCAGAGTACCTTCTCGGTGATGCACGGAGCTGGCGCGAGACTGGATCAATGTTAACTATCTACACTCCTCTCTGAAAGGGCCAAAAGAGTGTGGGAGAGAGAAATAGAGATCTTTACTCCTCTCTTAAAGGGACAGGATCCACCAGGTTTCCAGGGGGTGTGTAGTGATGCTGTGACCAGGGTCAGGGGTTAAGGTCATTGGTCAGGGATTAAGGGTCAGGAATCAGGTGATGTTTGGGGACTTGATGTGTTCCCCGGTGGGGTGTCGTTCTCCGGTCGACAGCGCTGGGAACAGTGAGGAAGAGATCGACCAACACCGGAGGCCTCGTAGAGGCACCAGAAAACAGCGGGCAAGCCCAAGGACACAGAGGGAGCAGGACGAAGATGAAGAAGAGGAGGGGAACCGGAATAGCCAAAGCCCGGGGAAGAAGAAAGGGAAGAGGAGAGGAAGTGACAGAAGTGACGGGAGTGACGTCAGCAGTGTGAGCAGCCTACCCAGGTCTCTGGAGGACATGCAGGCTCAGCGTGTCATGGCCAACGTACGGGAGCGCCAGAGGACCCAGTCACTCAACCAGGCCTTCGCCTCGCTACGACAGATCATTCCCACACTGCCCTCAGACAAACTCAGCAAGATCCAGACACTCAAACTGGCCACGCGGTACATAGGTAGGCTACTTTCTGTTATTATGATCATTTAATCAACCAATTAACCAATTATACATTTGAGGTGCCAATCCGTAAAGCACTTTGGGCTGCAATGTCATTACAAAAGGTGCCAAACAAATAATGATGATGATGGTGAGGCTAATGATGAAGATTCTTCTTCTTACGATTCTAGACTTCCTCCACCACGTGCTGCAGGGCGAGGGAATGGACCTGGATTTGGATGAAGCACATGTGTCAGGAGCAGCCAGCTGTGGTTCCGTGGCCCATGAGCGTCTGAGCTATGCCTTCTCAGTGTGGAGGATGGAGGAGGACGTATGGTCCAGGTCTGCTGTCTCACACTAGTGCTCACTCCACTGCAGGGGCACAACCAAACAGGGTAGGCTGTGGTTTTATTCCTCCCTTTCTTACACTCGTACAGTGATTGATGTACAACACACAAAAAAAGGCAAGTTCGATTACCGAATGACACTAGCCAATATCTGTTTTTGAACAATATATTTATTAACATTATTTAAATGTAACAAAATATCAGACAACATGGTAACTCATCCATATCTTATTTATTCACAGATTATGCAAGAGGATCCATGCTGGTTGGGGGGGGGGGCTTCCACATGCCCATACTGGACTGTGGTATACTGGGGAAAACAGGACTAAATGGCCTAGCGTGATACATTCAGAACCATGGTGGAACACCTCGTAACGACGAATGTTGGAGAATTAGAACACTTTCTGTACTGTGTATCTCTATGGTGGGAGATATGCTGGCCTGTTTCTGTGTGCTTGGTTCCAACCATCCATAAGCCTTATACGGGACACACAGGGCCGATAATAGGTCAAAAACCCATCAGTGGACAACTATAGCTCATTTTGGTCTGTTCTATGCTTCACACACAGACATGGAGACTGTCAGAATGCTCCAAATGACCTCTACCACAGGGGGTTGGTGGCACTTTAATTGGGGAGGACGGGCTCATACTAATGGCTGGAGCGGAATAGGTGGAATGGTATCAGATACATTAAACATGTGTTTGATGCCATTCCATTTGCTCCGTTCCAGCCATTATTTTGAGCCGTCCTCCCCTCAGCAGCCTCCTGTGACCTCTACACTCCATTTCCCTCCATGGGGATTGGCAACAGATGAAGTACCAGTCTTTGTATCAACAAACTCATACAAAGTTATAGATATTTTTTTTCTGCTGGATTCTGAAATAACAATTTATTGATCTATGTTACAAAGAAGAATGGGTCCATTTCTAAATGCATTTCTAATTTTGTAGTGTTGTAAATATCTTTAATTATTGTATGTTTGAATTGACATTTTAGTCATTTAGCTGATGCTCTTATACAGTAACAGTAGGCTACCGATGTTTGCAGGGTTGGGTAGGTTACTTTATAAATATAATCTGTTACAGTTACTAGTTACTTGTCCAAAATTGTAATCAGTAACGTAACTTTTGGATTACCCAAACCCAGTAACGTAATTTGATTACTTTCCCCTTAAGAGACATTAGAAGACAAAAAAGGATCCATAAAACGCATTTGGTGTGTCATCATAGTGGTCTCTGACTTGTGGTCAGACTCGCTCAGGTGGAACAAACTTAAACCTTTTTTACAATGCTGAATTGAATGTAATTGAGAAAACAGAAAGGTGTCATGTTTTTTCTTCTTCTCGCAAACATCCTTTCTGAATGTAAAGGTGCCAAACAAATCCAAGAAGTAATCATCTAGTTTTTCAAAGGTTATCTGTAATCTGATTACAATATTTTTGCTGGTAACGTAACTAGTTTTTTTGGGACCCATATTCCATACAGGATTCTGCCATCTAACGGTTAAAATGAAACTGACACTAAATAGTGAGAACATCTGTACACCCAACAGCACAGGGTAACACACCACTACTCATCTAACTGCCTGTAGGATTGATTGTAGTGGAAAACCGCATCATGACACACTGTTATGTTTGAGTTTCTTTGAATATATTTCAATCATGGCACACAATCAATGAAGAGTGATATCTGTCTAACCCAAACCCCTAGGTAGAGGAGGGGGTCAGTGAATGTGGAGTGGAATGTGTAAAGGTTCAGGTTTTGACTACTCCTCTCCGCTAGGAGACGACATAACAAAAACACTAACTGTCAAAACTCGCGGTCCCTCTTCAGTACGGAAGTTTTCCCTCGTCGACTTCCTTCCTGCTGTTCCTCTAGCAGCATGGCGAACTTGGAGCAGACAGAAGACGACCCAAAACACGCAAAAATGTCCACCGAAGTCTCAATTTTAACCAAGCCGACAGCAAACGGACAATTGGGGGCAGGCGGCGGAGACACAGGCGCGTTCCCAAGTCTGATCCCGTCGTTCGCTGACGCGTGCAAGTTGGTGTCCGCGCCGTACTCGTGTCTGGTCACGGACACGCACAGAAGACATATTGCCCTGTCACCCATGTACCTGAATAAGAAACGGACAGGGATCCAAGAGGAACTGAACACGGAACTGCTAAGATACTCAGAAACGTAAGCTATGGGTTGATTATGCTAGTTAGCTAGCTAACGGGAAGTTGCTAGTCTTCTGCGATGTGCTGCTAGTTTATACATGTTGCAGTGCGCATGTAGCTCGTACTAGTGTATATCCGACGCATGCGCACTAAAGAGGTAGTCTGGCGGTAAAAAATGTCTATAAAGTGTTTTAATTTCGTTCTTCGTATACACGACAGTTTGCGCATTCAGAAACATGTTCGCCACTCTAACAATCTTCACTTTGGTGAGTTACGAAAGTAGGTCGTTATATTGAAGCTAGTCACTAAACAAACCTTATCCAGAGCGACTTACAGGAGCAATTAGGGTTAAGTGCCTTGCTCAAGGGCACATCGACAGATTTTTCACCTAGTCGGCTCGGGGATTAGAACCAGCAACCTTTCGGTTACTGGCACAACACTCTTAACCACTAAGCTACCTGCCGCCTAGTAATAGCCTACTTGTTACTAAAATGTCTAGCTTTTACATACGATTTAGCTTACTTGTACACTTTGAAATTATACGAAAGTGTTGATTCTTTGAAGTTGTGTTTAAACTTGTTTTAATTGTTAACTTAAACTATTATTCAAGTTGAACTAGTGTTGATGTTGATTAATCACAGATCACAATCCTGCACTAAAGAGGGGAAGGGAATCTAAATAGTTTATGTTGTATTCTCGAATGGAAATTAACTTTTTGTTCAGTCATAAACTCTCCAATTAGAATTATTTGATTGTCCCCCCAAAAATCTGCATATCAGCAAGGTGAAATCATTTTGCGGCTGATAATTGCATGCAACGCCAGTGCAGCCATAGGCCTATAGCAGTGGTTCCCAACTCCAGTCCTTGAGTACTCCCTACAGCACACATTTTTATTGTAGCCCCAGACAAACATACCTGATTCAACTAATTGAGGGCCTGATGACAAGTTGAATCATGTGTGTTTGTCCTGGGCTACAATACACTGTACTGTTGGGGGGGGTACTCGAGGACCGGCGTTGGGAGCAACTGGCCTACAGTATGATGGCATTAGCCTTATGGGCATTTGCAACGCACCGCTTGACATTGTGCATCTGAAGCATTACATTTTACATTTTAGTCATTTAGCAGACGCTTTATCCGAGGCAGAACTTACAGTTGTATACATCTTTTTTTTTTTTTGCTGAAGCAGAGAATAGCTTAACTCACACACACCGTTTACATATTTATTGTTCAGCAATATGTTCTCAATTTTAAAAACCATAACTGTAGACAATGTATAAGAGGCTAATCATTATACTAGATTTTGTAGGACAAAGTAGTAGAAACGGATGCTGCTGCAGCATCACTCATCTTCACAGTGGGAATCCAGTCGGCATGGGTGTCCTGATAGAGGTCAGCCGGTGAACCTACAGAAGTACATAAATGAAAAGCGCGCCTGATGTTAGAATATCACTTCTTTAGGTCACCTATACCATCAGGGCTCTTAATTGTTTGATTCTTTCAGGTGTTTTAGTGTCATATAAAGATTAAATCTATTGTTGGTTTGGAACTACCAATAGTCAACACAGCAGGTTGTCCTATGTTATTGAGGTCTTATGCTGTGATGTCAATACATTTTCCCTCTTGTGAATGGTTGAGAAAGTTCTCAACAAATTATCATTGGAGTTTTATCACTGGAGGTTTTATTTGGACGATAATGTCCTCAAGGCTATATGGACAACATATTGTACAATTTGGTCTCCCCTTTTCATGGTCATGGCTAGAAGGGATCCAGTTTTTGTCAAATTAATGTCATTTTTTACATTTTGTAACAGATTAGGAGATTTCGGTTACAGTTAGGAAAAGAGTTAGGGTTAGCTAAAATAAAACCTTTAAACTCACGCGACACCGGCAATAACATCTGCCAAGCACATGTACGTGACAAATAACATTTGATTTGATCTAGCTAGCACATTTTGGCTTATTTAGTGTTAACACCTGGTTAGCACAATAGCTAAACTAAACTCTAAATCGACTTGACTTGACTTACCAGTGATGAAATGATCGTAGCAGACCCTGTACTGACAGCTGTCTGGGTTCAGGTCTTGACAGTCAAAAAGGTTTCTTTGCTTTTCTGACAGTTCTTGAGTCTTATCTTGGTGTCACCAATGGTGTTTTATGATTGCGGAGAATCTATAAACATATTTATAACTGCCAGTCCTCTGTAGCGTGCAGGCCTGTGCAGAATATCAGATCTTTACAATACTCTGAGAACTTGTATTAAACATCCCAGGAACCACATTAAATATGTTATATTGATATTCTAACCTGCACATAATCATCTGTATCGGGCATGCACCACACCCAATGTTCTCTGCTGACGGCAACTACTCCTGGGTCGTATTCTCTAGGAACCAAACAGAAGCAAACTGGACGAAACGGGGAGGGACCTACCTGAAATGGTTGTTTTCAGTTTCCCCGTTGCAAAACGTTTTGCTACGGTGTGCACTAATGAATATGAACCTGTCTACCTGTGTTCCCTGTGCAGTCTGAAGGGCGTGCCTCTGGCCTATGATGACGTCAGTTTGCTGCAGCAGCATGGAGAAATCTACGACGATAACGGATACATTCACCTCGACATACAGGCCAACTTTGTCATCTTCCAACCCCAGAGAGGACATAAACTACTGGTGAGAGGCAAGCTATGTAACTGTGTGTGACATCAAATCGAAACAGAACAGATGTGATTCTTACAGAGAACTGTGCAGTGTTGACGTGTTGTAGCTAGTTACGACGGTAATCTATTTGATATGGAATGGGTCAAGTTGCTTTGAAATGTCTAGTTTAAGCTAACTCTCTCCCTCCCTCCCTATCTCCCTCCCTCTCTCTCTCTCACCTCCTCCGTTCTTCCCCCTTTCCAGGGTATAGTTAATAAGCTTGGTGTGAGTCACGTGGGCTGTCTAGTCCATGGCTGTTTCAACGCCAGCGTTCCGAAGCCAGCCCACGTCACCATCGACACCTGGAGGGAGGCAGGACCCAGGATAGGGGCAGAGCTGGAGTTTGAGGTCTGTCAGCTAGATGCAGACACAGTCGGCGTACTGCTGATCAGAGGAAGACTTGACAGGACACGGTAGGTTAGAGAGAGAGTGTGTGTGTCTGAGATCGATTACATTGCAGTCGGACTGCGCATAATCACTGATCTACAAATCACTTTGAATCCCAGTTAACTGCATTGAGTGATCAAGGTCAGTGATTATGTGCCTTGCATGGCAGGGGCAAGGTTTATGGGGATGTATTAGAGATGGATTATCTGAGGCTAAACAGTTGTGTGTGTTTTGTGTTCTCTCAGGGTTCAGGAGCTGATGGCAGCTGGAGAGAGTTCTGATCCTACTGACCCCGCAGAACAGCTGGAGGAACCAGACACAGAACCTGCTCTAGAACCCAACCAGGACTCGCCCGATGCCACCGTCAAACCCAAGAAGAAGAAGAAAAAGGAGAAACGCAGAGAGGAGGTGGCTTTAGTAGCAGCCCCCGGAGACGCTGTGCACGGAACAGCAGAGGACAGCAGCACTAGCAGCCACACGGAAGAGAGGAGGAAGAAAAAGGAGAAACGACAGAAAGAGGAGGATGTGGAGAGAGAAGTGGATGAGAGGGGTCCTGTGGAGTTGCAGGGGAGCGACTCCAGCGGTTACCTTAGTGACAAGCCAAACAGGAAGAGGAAACAGGGTGTTGATATCACGCCCTGTCTCCATGGAGATCCTGAAACACCCAAAACTAAGAAGAAGAAAAATAAATGATGTGACTGAAAGACTGAAGCAAGATAATTTAGTGAAACTGGATGAACATTACAAGATGATGATGATGACTAATGGAGTGCCTTAAGTAGACCTGGTGACTTAGTTTGGTTACAGCTTCAGTCCTGTATTGTCTCCCATATTGTTGGGGTGATCCGTGACTCTCTCTTCATGCAGCTCTTTGTGTAGTTCCCTTGAGAAACCTGCAGAGGGAGCCAAGTCACTTCTAGAAGCCTCCATTGTGGCTCATGGGAAAGCACTCCAGTGTTTGTTAGCCAGGCTTTACCCTTCTAGCTACGGCTAGAACACATCAACATGCTGTAGGGCTGTTCATCATGGCTTAACCAGTGTGTTAAAGTCTTCAGATCTCAAATGGCACCCTATTCCCTACATGGTGCACTAGTTTGGGCCAGGGTCACATAAGGCTATCATATAGGTTCCTTGCCAAAAGTAGTGCGCTATGTAGGGAATTAGGGTTTGATTTGGAACAGAGATGGTGTTTGTTGTGCTGTTCTCAAGGCCCCAGACAAAGGGAAAGATGTTGCCAGTGTCTAGTCCTTCTACTTGTGTATAGGTGACACATTGAAGACTTCAGCAAAGCAGAGAAAAGTGTATTAATTCATTAAATAATGATGTATTTGTGAGTGACTGTGTTGTGTGCCTTTTTATAAGTTAGTGTGGTAGAGGATAGTTACAATTGTAGATGTGGGTGGTGAAGTAGGTCCATGAGAAGGACTTACCAAGAAAATCTTCCAAAAGGACTAATTCGAGGCAAAGTTTGTCCATCTCCCCCAAGTCACCTGAGTGGGCGTTGTTACATATCGTACAGTTTGTCACATTGTGTACATATCATCATGCAATCAGATCAGACAGGTTCATACTTGGGAGAAGTGTTGGGTCATCAAATAGGTTGAGCCACAACCCTCACTTCATATGAGGAACAGAATGGAGAGCAGAGCTGAACACACAGGTGAGAAATAGATCATTAGACCTAGCGTTAGTCTAATATGTAATGATCATGGTTTTTGACTAGGACCTACAGTGTAGGGTCCGTATCATTAGGTGAATCAAAACTAACACCTAACTGTTGATGATACGAACATATTGTCTTTTCCTGCTATGATTTTGCCTTTAGCTGCTTTATTGAGGAAAGTTTTACTTGCAATGACTGATGTGGTTGCAGCCTAGTCTCATGGACTAGACATAACATAGCACATTTTACTTTTGGTACTCAAATTAGTGTATGTTACATTTGGTATGGTTATATAAGACGGATGGTTACTTAAGGCAAAAACGAAAGTAGGGTGGTTGGTCATGGTGGGCATCTGACGCGAACGTCTAGCAACCCAAAGGTTGCGCGTTCGAATCTCGTCAGACAACTTTAGCAACTACTTGCTACTTTGCAACTACTTAGCATGTTACCTAACCCTAACCTTAATCCTAGCCTTAACCCCTAGCTTCAAGTCTTCTTGGGTATGACGCTTCAAGCTTGGAACACCTGTATTTGGGGAGTTTCTCCCATTCTTCTCTGTAGATCTTCAAGCTCTGTCAGGTTGGATGGGGAGCGTCGCTGCACAGCTATTTTCAGGTCTCTCCAGAGATGTTTGATCGGGTTCAAGTCCGGGCTCTGGCCGGGCCACTCAAGGACATTCAGAGACTTGTCCCGAAGCCACTCCTGCATTGTCTTGGCTGTGTGTTTAGGGTCGTTGTCTTGTTGGAAGGTGAACCTTCGCCCCAGTCTGAGGTCCTGAGCGCTCTGGAGCAGGTTTTCATCAAGCATCTCTCTGTACTTTGCTTCGTTCATCTTTCCCTCGATCCTGACTAGTCTCCCCCACAGCATGATGCTGCTACCACCATGCATCACCGTAGGGATGCTGCCAGGTTTCCTCCAGACGTGAAGCTTGGCATTCAGGCCAAAGAGTTCAATCTTGGTTTCATCAGACCAGAGAATCTTGTTTCTCATGGTCTGAGTCCTTTAGGTGGCTTTTGGCAAACTCCAAACTCTACACACAATTTCTTCGACCTCATGGCTTGGTTTTGCTCTGACATGCACTGTCAACTGTGGGACCTTATATAGACTGGTGTGTGCCTTTCCAATGTCCAATCAATAAAATTTACCACTGGTGGACTCCCAAGTTGTAGAAACATCTCAAGGATGATCAATGGAAACATGATGCACCTGAGCTCAATTTCGAGTCTCATAGCAAAGGGTCTGAATACTTATGTAAATAAGGTATTTCTGTTTTATTATTTTAAATTTGCAAAAATGTCTAAACCTGTTTTCGATTTGTCATTATGGGGTATTGTGTATAGATTGAGGGAAAAAAATAAAAATCAATTTCAGAATAAGGCTGTAACTTAACAAAATGTGGAAAAACTAAAGGGGTCTGAATACTTTCCGAATGCACTGTACAAAACATTAAGATCATCTGCTCTTTCCATGACATAGCCTGACCAGGTGAAAGCTATGATCCCTTATTGATGTCACTTGTTAAATCCACTTCAATCAGTGTAGATGAAGGGGAGGAGACCGGTTAAATAAGGATATTTAAGTCTTGAGACATGGATTGTGTGTGTGTGCCATTCAGAGGGTGAATGAGCAAGACAAAATATTTAAGTGCCTTTGAATGGGGTATGGTAGTAGGTGCCAGGTGCACCGGTTTCTGTCAACAACTGCAACGCTGCTGTGTTTTTCACGCTCAACCGTTTCCCGTGTGTATCAACCGTTCCACCACCCAAAGGACATCCAGCCAACTTGACACAACTGTGGGATGCATTGGCGTCAGCATGGGTCAGCATCCCTGTGGAACGCTTTCGACACCTTGTAGAGTCCATGCCCCGACAAATTGAGGCTGTTCTGAGGGAAAAAGGGGGAGGGGGGTGCAGCTCAATATTAGGAAGGTGTTCCTAATGTTTGGTACAAGACTTGAAAATGGCTGTCTAGCAATGATCAACAATCAACTTGACAGAGCTTCAAGAATTTAAAAAAAGAATAATGGGTAAATATTGTACAGTCCAGGTGTGCAAAGCTCTTAGAGACTTACCCAGAAAGACTCACAACTGTAATCGCCGCCAAAGGTGCTTCTACAAAGTATTGACTCACGGGTGTGAATACTTATGTAAATTAGATTTCTGTATTTCATTTTCAATACATTTGCAAACATTTCTTAACTTGTTTTGACTTAGTCAATATGGGATATTATGTGTAGATGGGTGAGTGATTTAAAAAAAATATTTAATCCATTTAGAATTCAGGCTGTAACACAACAAAATGTGAAATAAGTCAAAGTGTATAAATACTTTCTTAAGGCGCTGTATATGGCAGAGGCTTGGGCTCTCGCTTTACTAGAATTTGTGACTTTTAGATTTGTTGAGATTTGTATCCGATTTCTATTATTAACCACGTGACAATGATTTTGAGAAACCAAAACGTTATTATTGAAATGAAACTGTTCCACAAAAATGCACATATGAAAATCATAACTGGCACACAGATCGGTAGGATAAATTGTAAGCTTCCCCAAACTTCAAACTCACAAATTTGAACCTCACGCGCTGCATATAATAGACGGTTGTGAACAGAGCGCACATTTCTTTGTACTGCATAATTACAGCATGTTTGTGTGAGACAGAGAGATAACGAGAGGAGCGTTGTAACTACGATTGTGCCTATTAAAACTGAGCACAAATTGACAGCTGTGCGATCCATCGCGAAGAAAAGCGCTCACCTCGATCCAGCACCAGCGGGTGGAAAGCACCACTCGCTGGGCCGCGCCAAGCACTGTGTTGCTTGGTAGACTACTGGGTTAGTACACCTATGTGTTTGACATAGACAGGAGCAGGCCTGCGAGCCCAGGGCGAGAGAATGCCATGTTGATATTGGTCCCATTCCTTTTTTAAATTTAGTTCCAAGTTTAGAATTATAAACTAATAGAAGTATAAAACTATTGCAAGCACTGCTCCAGATCACTTGATATCCACCTCAAGGGAGAGAGAGACCCAACTTAACTCAAACTAAACTGTCTATCATACAGCGGGTCAGAGACCGCACGCTCAAGTGTTTTGGAAAGAAGGTAATGTGGTAGCATTACGTATTGTCTCCCGGTCTGATTCAGCTCTGGGCGCCTGTGTTCAGAACCACACACACTAGAGCAGGTGGTGGTGCTCTCCTGGGCGCCTTCTGTATGCTGTTGTCACAGTGATAAATAGTGACGCAGCTCCTTAGTCAGCGAGAGAGCCCCTGGCTGAATCTGCTGGCTCTGTCCCTGTCAACACTCACACCCACACTTAACACACACACACAGTGTTTTACATTGGTTAGTTACTGTAACAGAGTGAGGACTCTGGTTACTGTGTTGCTCCTGTCTATTGTAAGCGATAGTGACAGATCAATAGGGTTAACTAAGTACTCTGGTTACTGTGTTGATCTTTTCTATAGTAAGCGATAGTGACAGATCAATAGGGTTAACTAAGTAAGATATCGGGACCAATTGAGAATCGAGGCACGCGCACACACACACACACACACTTATGTGTGAGATAAATCTCTTGTACTCCCACAGCAATAGTTCCTCCAGCAGAGAGCATGTCTCCTCTCATTAAATATCAAGATGGATGCCTGAGATGTGTGTGTGCATGTGCGCGTGACAAGCAGTCGTTTCTCTCAGCTGTTCCAGGAACTGTCTATGAAATCTACACCACAATCTAACATTTCCATTGTTTTATTTTTGTTTTATAAGAAGACTATAGAAAAACATTGTAACTTCATAATGATTGTTTTCCTGATATACAGCAGAAGCATGACTATACAGAAGAGGGTGAAAGCTAACCCTCCTCCCGGAGAGCTACTGGGTGTGTAGGCTTCTGCTTCAGGATCTTGATTTGCTTAATTAGGTGGGTTAGAGCAATGCTGGAGAATAAGCTGCTCTCCAGGACGAGGGTTTTCCACAACTGGTCTACGGTGTGCATCGTTGGTTGTATGTCTCATGTTTAAAGCATATCATATTCTGCTCTACATGAGATAGCTAAAGCATTGTTCCTTCATAGACCTGCATTCATGTAGCCAGAACCATAGAGCGAGAGAGAGACAGAGAGAGAGAGGAATGAGAGAATGAGAGAGAGAGGAATAGGAGAGAGAGAAATAGAGGCATGAGAGAGAGAGAGAGAGAGAGAGAGGAATGGAAGAGAAAGAGAGAGACTCAGTAAGACAAAAATAATGGTGTTCCAAAAAAGGTCGAGTTGCCAGGACCACAAATACAAATTCCATCTAGACACCGTTGCCCTAGAGCACACAAAAAACTATACATACCTCAGCCTAAACATCAGCGCCACAGGTAACTTGAGAGACAAGGCAAGAAGGGCCTTCTACGCCATCAAAAGGAACATAAAATTTGACATACCAATTAGGATCTGGCTAAAAATACTTGAATCAGTTATAGAACCCATTGCCATTTATGGTTGTGAGGTCTGGGGTCCGCTCACCAAAGAAGAATTCACAAAATGGGACAAACACCAAATTGAGACTCTGCATGCAGAATTCTGCAAAAACATCCTCCGTGTACAACGTAAAACACCAAATAGAGCAGAATTAGGCCAATACCCGCTAATTATCAAAATCCAGAAAAGAGCCGTTAAATTCTATAACCACTTAAAAGGAAGCAATTCCCAAACCTTCCATAACAAAGCCATCACCTACAGAGAGATGAACTTGGAGAAGAGTCCCCTAAGTAAGCTGGTCCTGGGGCTCTGTTCACAAACAGACCCCACGACAACATTAGACATTTTAGTAGACGCTCTTATTCAGAGCAACTTACAGTTAGTGAGCGCATACATTATTATTTTTCATACTGGGCCCCCGTGGGAATCGAACCCACAACCCTGGCGTTGCAAACGCCATGCTCTACCAACTGAGCTACATCCCTGCCGGCCATTCCCTCCCCTACCATGGGCCAATTGTGCGCCGCCCCATGGGTCTCCCGGTCACAGCCAGCTACGACAGAGCCTGGATTTGAACCAGGATCTCTAGTGGCACAGCTAGCACTGCAATGCAGTGCCTTAGACCACTGCGCCACTCAGGAGACATAGACCCAACCAAATAATGAGAAAACAAAAAGAGAATTACTTGACACATTGGAAATAACAAACAAAAAAACAGAGCAAACTAGAATGCTATTTGGCCCTAAACAGAGAGTACACAGTGGCAGAATACCTGACCACTGTGACTGACCAAAACTTAAGGAAAGCTTTGACTATGTACAGACTCAGTGAGCATAGCCTTGCTATTGAGAAAGGCCGTTGTAGGCAGACCTGGCTCTCAAGAGAAGACAGGCTATGTGCACACTGCCTACAAAATGAGGTGGAAACTGAGCTGCACTTCCTAACCTCCTGCCAAATATTTGACCATATTAGTGACATATATTTCCCTCAGATTACAGAGATCCACAAAGAATTCGAAAACAAACCCAATTTTGATTAACTCCCTTATCTACTGGGTGAAAAACCACAGTGTGCCATCACAGCTGCAAGATTTGTGAACTGTTGCCACAAGAAAAGGGCAACCAGTGAAGAACAAACACCATTGTAAATACAACCCATATTTATGTTTATTTATTTTCCCATTTGTACTTTAACTATTTGCACATTGTTACAACACTGTATATATATATATATATATATATATATATATATACATAATATGACATTTGAAATGTCTTTATTCTTTTGGAACTTCTGAGTGTAATGTTTACTGTTAATATTTATTGTTTATTTCACTTTTGTTTATTATCTACTTCACTTGCTTTGGCAATGTTAACATACGTTTCCCATGCCAATAAAGCCCTTAAATTGAAATAGAATTGAATTGAGAGTGAGAGAGAGAGGGAGGAATGAGAGAGATTTAAAATAAATTGCATGCTTGTTTTGTGATCATTAGTTTGAATCGTCTGATTGGCTGTCTGTCCCTCCTGTCTGTGAGGTCATATGTAATGTGACTGTGTGTTAGGACTATCAGAACTAGTAACAACTTGTCCAAGAAAAGCATTCATTGTTGTTATCTTTTGGGAAACAACTTCTTCCATCTGTGCTGAAGTTCTCCACACACAGCTGTGAAATAATGCTGCTCAGCCCTGTTAGATGATATCACTCCGTTGTCAGGGCAACAAGGTGTGGACGTCGTCAGGGCAACAAGTTGTGCCCATTGTCAGGGCAACAAGGTGTGTCCCTTGTCAGGGTTACACGATGTGCCAGTTGTCAGGGCAAAAAGGTGTGTCCATTGTCAAGGAGATGTGGTGTTACCATTGTAGGAGATCTGGGGAATCCCATTGCTGGAGTTGTCCAGGATCTCCTATTGGAAACACACAAACGCATGTACGCACGCACACACACACACGTTAGTATCACTCAGCTGTGGATTCTCACTGAGGAGCAATCAAGAGTAATGTGTGAGTGCGGTCCAAGCCTGTGAGTGTGTGTTTGTTTCTTACAAAAGATCCGTGTGTGTATGAATCCTTCTCAGTCATCTCGTGTGAGTGGTGCAGTGAGTGTTCTCTCTCCAGAAACATCCTCTGTTGTTCTGAACTGGCCAGACGACAGGTCAACCAGGTAGAGAGAGTACAGGAAGAGATACCTACAGGAGAGAGGGAGAGGGGGGGAGAGAGACTAATTGAATTGAATGGTGCCAGAACCTGAACGTTACCTTTCATAAACAGACAGAGAAGTTTTCATGCAGGTTAGAGGAGGTGTTGGGTCAGCATCACACAGCTGAACTACCTGGAGTTGGAATGAGTTGATGTTAGTGTAATGTAATGTAATATAATGTTTAACTATGTTTCAAAGTGTTTTCTATAGCGTTTCATAGCGTTGCATACCCAGGCAGGCAATGGTCATGGCCGCTAGGTGTAGGGAGTGAAGAGAGTCCGGTCGTCGTGACAACGCCCTAACGAACTGGAAGTTGAGAATCCCTCCAATCAGACCACAGATACAGCAGGCTGAGAACAGAATCATCTGGAGGGAGAGAGATATAGAGATAGAGAGAGAGAGAGATAGAGAGATAGAGATAGAGTGATAAAAAAACAAGAGAGAAATACACACAGGCTTAAATGACTGCACCTGCTGATACTGTAGCTATCTTGTCAGCAGAAAACAATACATGGAGAGATGGAACACAGTTGATAGTTTCCTGCTCTGTCACTGTAAATGAGATGGAACACAGTTGATAGTTTCCTGCTCTGTCACTGTAAATGAGATGGAACACAGTTGATAGTTTCCTGCTCTGTCACTGTAAATGAGATGGAACACAGTTGATAGTTTCCTGCTCTGTCACTGTAAATGAGATTGAACACAGTTGATAGTTTCCTGCTCTATCACTGTAAATGAGATGGAACACAGTTGATAGTTTCCTGCTCTGTCACTGTAAATGAGATGGAACACAGTTGATAGTTTCCTGCTCTATCACTGTAAATGAGATGGAACACAGTTGATAGTTTCCTGCTCTGTCACTGTAAATGAGATGGAACACAGTTGACAGTTTCCTGCTCTATCACTGTAAATGAGATGGAACACAGTTGACAGTTTCCTGCTCTATCGCTGTAAATGAGATGGAACACAGTTGATAGTTTCCTGCTCTGTCACTGTAAATGAGATGGAACACAGTTGATAGTTTCCTGCTCTATCACTGTAAATGAGATGGAACACAGTTGATAGTTTCCCGCTCTATCACTGTAAATGAGATGGAACACAGTTGATAGTTTCCTGCTCTGTCACTGTAAATGAGATGGAACACAGTTGATAGTTTCCTGCTCTATCACTGTAAATGAGATGGAACACAGTTGATAGTTTCCTGCTCTGTCACTGTAAATGAGATGGAACACAGTTGATAGTTTCCTGCTCTATCACTGTAAATGAGATGGAACACAGTTGATAGTTTCCTGCTCTATCACTGTAAATGAGATGGAACAGTTTATAGATTCCTGCTCTGTCACTGTAAATGAGATGGAACACAGTTGATAGTTTCCTGCTCTGTCACTGTAAATGAGATGGAACACAGTTGACAGTTTCCTGCTCTATCACTGTAAATGAGATGGAACACAGTTGACAGTTTCCTGCTCTATCACTGTAAATGAGATGGAACACAGTTGATAGTTTCCTGCTCTGTCACTGTAAATGAGATGGAACACAGTTGATAGTTTCCTGCTCTATCACTGTAAATGAGATGGAACACAGTTGATAGTTTCCCGCTCTATCACTGTAAATGAGATGGAACACAGTTGATAGTTTCCTGCTCTGTCACTGTAAATGAGATGGAACACAGTTGATAGTTTCCTGCTCTATCACTGTAAATGAGATGGAACACAGTTTGATAGTTTCCTGCTCTGTCACTGTAAATGAGATGGAACACAGTTGATAGTTTCCTGCTCTATCACTGTAAATGAGATGGAACACAGTTGATAGTTTCCTGCTCTGTCACTGTAAATGAGATGGAACACAGTGGATAGTTTCCTGCTCTATCACTGTAAATGAGATGGAACACAGTTGATAGTTTCCTGCTCTATCACTGTAAATGAGATGGAACAGTTTATAGATTCCTGCTCTGTCACTGTAAATGAGATGGAACACAGTTTATAGTTTCCTGCTCTGTCACTGTAAATGAGATGGAACACAGTTGATAGTTTCCTGCTCTGTCACTGTAAATGAGATGGAACACAGTTTATAGTTTCCTGCTCTATCACTGTAAATGAGATGGAACACAGTTGATAGTTTCCTGCTCTGTCACTGTAAATGAGATGGAACACAGTTGATAGTTTCCTGCTCTATCACTGTAAATGAGATGGAACACAGTTGATAGTTTCCTGCTCTGTCACTGTAAATGAGATGGAACACAGTTGATAGTTTCCTGCTCTATCACTGTAAATGAGATGGAACACAGTTGATAGTTTCCCGCTCTGTCACTGTAAATGAGATGGAACACAGTTTATAGATTCCTGCTCTATCACTGTAAATGAGATGGAACACAGTTGATCGATTCCTGCTCTATCACTCTAAATGAGATGGAACACAGTTTATAGTTTCCTGCTCTATCACTGTAAGTGAGATGGAACACAGTTGATAGTTTCCTGCTCTATCACTGTAAATGAGATGGAACACAGTTGATAGTTTCGTGCTCTATCACTGTAAATGAGATGGAACACAGTTGATCGATTCCTGCTCTGTCACTGTAAATGAGATGGAACACAGTTGATAGTTTCCTGCTCTGTCACTGTAAATGAGATGGAACACAGTTGATAGTTTCCTGCTCTGTCACTGTAAATGAGATGGAACACAGTTTATAGTTTCCTGCTCTATCACTGTAAATGAGATGGAACACAGTTGATAGTTTCCTGCTCTATCACTGTAAATGAGATGGAACACAGTTGATAGTTTCCTGCTCTATCACTGTAAATGAGATGGAACAGTTGATAGATTCCTGCTCTGTCACTGTAAATGAGATGGAACACAGTTGATAGTTTCCTGCTCTGTCACTGTAAATGAGATGGAACACAGTTGATAGTTTCCTGCTCTGTCACTGTAAATGAGATGGAACACAGTTGATAGTTTCCTGCTCTATCACTGTAAATGAGATGGAACACAGTTGATAGTTTCCTGCTCTATCACTGTAAATGAGATGGAACACAGTTGATAGTTTCCCGCTCTGTCACTGTAAATGAGATGGAACACAGTTTATAGATTCCTGCTCTATCACTGTAAATGAGATGGAACACAGTTGATAGATTCCTGCTCTATCACTGTAAATGAGATGGAACACAGTTTATAGTTTCCTTCTCTATCACTGTAAATGAGATGGAACAGTTTATAGATTCCTGCTCTGTCACTGTAAATGAGATGGAACACAGTTTATAGATTCCTGCTCTATCACTGTAAATGAGTGTCACGGTTTCGGCCGAGGCTGCTCCTCCTCCTTGTTCGGGCAGGCTTCGGCGGTCGTCGTCTCCGGAGTACTAGCTGCCACCGTTCAATGTTTCATGTTCGTTTGGTTTTGTCTGTTTGTAACACCTGTCCCTTGTTAGTGTTTGATTGTGTTCCCTATTTAGTTTCGTTATTTTGGGTCAGGTGTTATGTGTGATTGTTTTTGTCAGCTGTTCGTGTTCTTGGTATTTTGACTCTCTTCCTGTGTATTCGAGAGTTCGCACTGCGTGCGCTTTTTTCCTTGTTTTACGCACTGTGTTGTGTGCGTATTTGTCGTTCTCGCCTCCCGGTTGGGTTGGCTATTTTCTCCTGTTTGGAGTTGTTTTGCACCACTAAAGACTGTTGACGTACTCTTGTGTGCCTGCGCTTGATTCCCTACACCACATCCACACTCAGCGTTCGTGACAGAATCACACATCACCCATGGAATCAGCAGGAGCGACCGCGCCAACAGCAAGCATGGAGGAACGTCTTCGTGGGCAGGAGGACCGGATTAACCAGGTCTGTCATGCCCTGGAGGGGGTGATGAACACTCTCCACCGATGGGAAACCAGCGGGGTACCCACGACCCCACCTACCGAACCATCCCCATCGGTCAGTCCTCCTGACCCATTTCCGGAACCCAGTGGGATTCGGCTCTCGCTCCCGAGGGCGTACGACGGCTCCGCTGCCGGGTGTCAAGGGTTCCTGCTGCAAGTGGAGCTCTACCTCGCCACCGTACACCCGGCGCCCTCGGGACACGAGAGCGTCTCAGCCCTCATCTCCTGTCTCACCGGCAAGGCGTTGGAGTGGGCCAACGCCGAATGGAGGAGAATGGACGCCGCTACCACTACCTATGCGGAGTTCTCCCGCCGCTTCCGTGCTGTGTTTGACCATCCACCGGAAGGGAAGGCGGCGGGGGAGCGTCTGTTCTACCTCCGACAGGGGATGAGGAGCGCCCAGGACTTTGCTTTGGAATTCCGGACTCTAGCGGCCGATGCAGGGTGGAATGAGCGGGCCCTTATAGACCACTTCCGTTGCAGCCTCCGGGAGGACGTCCAGAGAGAGTTGGCGTGCAGGGACACCTCGTTGACGTTTGACCAACTTGTCGACATGGCCATTCGGCTGGATACCCTGCTCGCCACCCGTGGACGTCCCGGGTGGGGTTCGCCCATTTCACCCTCCAGCACCTCCGAGCCGAGCCCTATGGAGCTCGGGGGTGCTGGCGCTAGAGAACGGAGGAGTAGGAACCCGAGGGGGGCCGTTCCCTGCACTAACTGTGGCCGTGGAGGGCACACCGCGGCTAGGTGTTGGGGAGGGTCCCCCGGTGGAGGAGAAGGCAGGTCACGCATTGGGGGGGTCCCCCCAGGTGAGTAGGCGCCCTACTTACCCAGAGCTTTCTGTCGTTCACCTAACCTTGCCTGTTTGTTTTCCACAGGTTGCACCTCGTTCCCAGCATAAGGCGCTGGTAGATTCAGGCGCAGCTGGGAATTTTATAGATCGCCAGTTCTGTGTAGAGTTAGGGATTCCCCTCCTTCCCGTTGATAAGCCTTTCCCTGTTCATGCCCTAGATAGCCGTCCGTTAGGGTCTGGGTTGATTAGGGAGGTCACGGCACCCCTTAAGATGATGGCGCAGGAGGGTCATGAGGAGACGATTCAGCTCTATCTGATTGACTCTCCTGCGTATCCGGTAGTGCTGGGCCTTCCCTGGTTGATGACCCATGACCCTACTATTTTGTGGCGAGAGAAAGCTCTTAAAGGGTGGTCTGCCCAGTGTGAGGGGCGGTGTCTGGGTGTTTCCATAGGGGCGACCTCGGTGGAAAGTCCGAATCTAATGCCAGCACTGCATATTCCCCCCGAGTATGAGGATTTGAAAGTGGTGTTTAGTAAAACTAGGGCGGCGCAGCTGCCGCCTCATAGACGAGGGGATTGTGCGATAGATCTCCAGTCAGGAGCAGCTCTCCCGCGGAGCCATGTGTATCCCTTGTCTCAAGAGGAGAGGAAGGCAATGGAGACGTACATCGCTGAGTCTCTGAGACAGGGATACATACGGGCCTCCACTTCACCCGCTTCCTCGAGTTTCTTTTTTGTGAAGAAAAAGGATGGAGGTCTGCGCCCGTGTATTGATTACCGCGGTCTCAATCAGATTACGGTGAAGTACAGCTATCCACTTCCTCTGATTGCGACTATGACGGAGTCATTGCACGGTGCGCAGTTCTTTACAAAATTGGATCTCAGGAGCGCATATAACTTGGTGCGCATTAGAGAGGGCGATGAATGGAAGACAGCGTTTAGCACGACTTCCGGACACTACGAGTATCTAGTCATGCCATATGGGTTAATGAATGCTCCCTCAGTCTTCCAATCCTTCGTCGATGAGATTTTCCGGGACATGCAGGGACAGGGAGTAGTCGTATACATCGACGATATTCTGGTGTACAGTCCTACCCGATCAGAGCATGTAACCCTGGTGCGCCGAGTATTGAGGAGGCTGTTGGAGCATGACCTATATGTCAAGGCAGAGAAATGTCTGTTCTTTCAGAAGTCGGTCTCCTTTCTGGGTTATCAGTTGTCTGCGTCAGGGGTGAAGATGGAGGTAGACCGGGTGTCAGCTGTGCGTAATTGGCAGACCCCAACCACTGTGAAGGAGGTGCAACAGTTCTTGGGTTTTGCAAATTATTACCGGAGGTTTATCCGGGGTTTTGGACAGGTGGCAGCTCCCATAACGTCTCTGTTGAAGGGGGGTCCGGTGCGCTTGCGGTGGTCAGCGGAGGCGGACAGGGCTTTTGGGAAACTGAAGGACCTGTTTACCTCGGCGCCGGTGTTGGCGCATCCGGATCCCTCTTTACCTTTCCAGGTAGAGGTGGACGCGTCAGAGGCCGGTATAGGGGCCGTTCTTTCCCAACGTTCTGGCACACCACCTAAACTCCGTCCCTGTGCGTTTTATTCTAAAAAGCTCAGTCCGGCGGAGCGGAATTATGACGTAGGAGACAGGGAGCTGTTAGCCGTGGTACAGGCCCTAAAGGTGTGGCGGCATTGGCTTGAGGGGGCTCAACACCCTTTCCTCATTCTAACTGACCACCGTAACCTGGAATACATCCGGGCAGCTAGGAGACTGAATCCTCGCCAGGCCCGCTGGACTATGTTTCTAGCCCGGTTTGTGTTTAAAATTACTTACATCCCTGGGTCCCAGAACGGGAAGGCAGATGCTCTGTCTCGGCGGTATGACGCGGAGGAGAGGTCCGTTGAGCCCACTCCCATACTACCAGAGTCCTGTCTGGTTGCACCGGTGGTGTGGGAGGTTGATGCCGAGATCGAGCGGGGCGTTACGCACCGACCCAAGTCCTCCACAGTGTCCAGTGGGTCGGACGTACGTTCCGCTCGAGGTACGCGATCGCCTCATTTATTGGGCTCATACGTCCCCCTCCTCTGGACATCCGGGTATCGGCCGGACAGTTCACTGCCTTAGCACGAAGTACTGGTGGCCAACGTTAGCTAGGGATGTGAGGATTTATGTCTCCTCCTGTTCGGTGTGTGCCCAGTGTAAGGCGCCCAGACATTTGCCCAGGGGTAAGCTACAACCCCTGCCCGTTCCACAACGACCCTGGTCCCACCTCTCGGTGGATTTTGTTACCGACCTTCCCCCCTCACAGGGGAATACTACCATCCTGGTCGTTGTGGATCGGTTCTCGAAGGCCTGTCGTCTCCTTCCCATGCCGGGTCTACCCACTGCCCTACAGACCGCTGAGGATCTGTTTACCCATGTCTTCCGGCATTACGGGGTACCCGAGGATATAGTGTCTGATCGAGGCCCCCAGTTCACCTCCAGAGTGTGGAGAGCGTTTATGGAACGGTTGGGGGTTTCGGTAAGCCTTACTTCGGGTTACCATCCGGAGAGTAATGGGCAGGTTGAACGTGTTAACCAGGAGGTGGGTAGGTTTCTGAGGTCTTATTGCCAGGGGCCGGCCGGAGGAGTGGGCGAGATACGTTCCTTGGGCCGAGATGGCACAGAACTCTCTCCGCCACTCCTCCACCCAACTAACCCCTTTCCAGTGTGTGTTAGGGTACCAGCCGGTTCTGGCACCTTGGCACGAGAGCCAGATCGAGGCCCCTGCGGTGGATGAATGGGTGCGGCGCTCGGAGGAAACATGGAACGCTGCCCACGTACATCTGCAGCGGGCCATCCGTCGGCAGAAAACGAGCGCCGATCTCCACCGCAGTGAGGGGCCTGTGTACGCACCTGGAGATCGAGTCTGGCTCTCGACCAGAAACCTGCCCCTCCGCCTGCCCTGCCGGAAGCTGGGTCGGCGGTTTGTGGGGCCATTTAAAGTCCTGAGGAGGTTGAACGAGGTGTGTTACAGGTTAGAACTGCCTATTGACTATAGGAATATTAACCCCTCGTTCCATGTGTCTCTCCTCAGGCCGGTGGTAGCTGGTCCACTCCAGGAGTATGAGATAGAGGAGACTCCTCCGCCCCCGTTGGACATCGAGGGGGCTCCGGCGTACACTGTGAGGTTCATCCTTGATTCGAGACGCCGGATGGGGGGTCTTCAATATCTCGTGGAGTGGGAGGGGTACGGCCCGGAGGAGCGGTGCTGGGTGCCAAGGAGGGACATATTGGACCAGTCCCTGCTGACCGAGTTCCATCGGGGTCATCCTACGCGCCCTGCTCCGCGTCGTCCGGGTCGTCCCCGAGCCCGGGGTCGGCGCACGGCTGGATCCGCGCGTCAAGGGGGGGGTACTGTCACGGTTTCGGCCGAGGCTGCTCCTCCTCCTTGTTCGGGCAGGCTTCGGCGGTCGTCGTCTCCGGAGTACTAGCTGCCACCGTTCAATGTTTCATGTTCGTTTGGTTTTGTCTGTTTGTAACACCTGTCCCTTGTTAGTGTTTGATTGTGTTCCCTATTTAGTTTCGTTATTTTGGGTCAGGTGTTATGTGTGATTGTTTTTGTCAGCTGTTCGTGTTCTTGGTATTTTGACTCTCTTCCTGTGTATTCGAGAGTTCGCACTGCGTGCGCTTTTTTCCTTGTTTTACGCACTGTGTTGTGTGCGTATTTGTCGTTCTCGCCTCCCGGTTGGGTTGGCTATTTTCTCCTGTTTGGAGTTGTTTTGCACCACTAAAGACTGTTGACGTACTCTTGTGTGCCTGCGCTTGATTCCCTACACCACATCCACACTCAGCGTTCGTGACAATGAGATGGAACACAGTTGATAGTTTCCTGCTCTATCACTGTAAATGAGATGGAACACAGTTTATAGTTTCCTGCTCTATCACTGTAAATGAGATGGAACACAGTTGATAGATTCCTGCTCTATCACTGTAAATGAGATGGAACACAGTTTATAGATTCCTGCTCTATCACTGTAAATGAGATGGAACACAGTTGATAGTTTCCTGCTCTGTCACTGTAAATGAGATGGAACACAGTTTATAGTTTCCTGCTCTATCACTGTAAATGAGATGGAACACAGTTGATAGTTTCCTGCTCTATTACTGTAAATGAGATGGAACACAGTTGATAGTTTCCTGCTCTATCACTGTAAATGAGATGGAACAGTTTATAGATTCCTGCTCTGTCACTGTAAATGAGATGGAACACAGTTGATAGTTTCCTGCTCTGTCACTGTAAATGAGATGGAACACAGTTGATAGTTTCCCGCTCTGTCACTGTAAATGAGATGGAACACAGTTGATAGTTTCCTGCTCTATCACTGTAAATGAGATGGAACACAGTTGATAGTTTCCTGCTCTGTCACTGTAAATGAGATGGAACACAGTTGATAGTTTCCTGCTCTATCACTGTAAATGAGATGGAACACAGTTGATAGTTTCCCGCTCTGTCACTGTAAATGAGATGGAACACAGTTTATAGATTCCTGCTCTATCACTGTAAATGAGATGGAACACAGTTGATAGATTCCTGCTCTATCACTGTAAATGAGATGGAACACAGTTTATAGTTTCCTGCTCTATCACTGTAAATGAGATGGAACAGTTTATAGATTCCTGCTCTGTCACTGTAAATGAGATGGAACACAGTTGATAGTTTCCTGCTCTGTCACTGTAAATGAGATGGAACACAGTGGATAGTTTCCTGCTCTATCACTGTAAATGAGATGGAACACAGTTGATAGTTTCCTGCTCTATCACTGTAAATGAGATGGAACAGGTTATAGATTCCTGCTCTGTCACTGTAAATGAGATGGAACACAGTTGATAGTTTCCTGCTCTGTCACTGTAAATGAGATGAACACAGTTGATAGTTTCCTGCTCTGTCACTGTAAATGAGATGGAACACAGTTGATAGTTTCCTGCTCTATCACTGTAAATGAGATGGAACACAGTTGATAGTTTCCTTCTCTGTCACTGTAAATGAGATGGAACACAGTTGATAGTTTCCTGCTCTATCACTGTAAATGAGATGGAACACAGTTGATAGTTTCCCGCTCTGTCACTGTAAATGAGATGGAACACAGTTTATAGATTCCTGCTCTATCACTGTAAATGAGATGGAACACAGTTGATAGATTCCTGCTCTATCACTGTAAATGAGATGGAACACAGTTTATAGTTTCCTGCTCTATCACTGTAAATGAGATGGAACACAGTTGATAGTTTCCTGCTCTATCACTGTAAATGAGATGGAACACAGTTGATAGTTTCCTGCTCTATCACTGTAAATGAGATGGAACAGTTTATAGATTCCTGCTCTGTCACTGTAAATGAGATGGAACACAGTTGATAGTTTCCTGCTCTGTCACTGTAAATGAGATGGAACACAGTTGATAGTTTTCCTGCTCTGTCACTGTAAATGAGATGGAAACACAGTTGATAGTTTCCCGCTCTATCACTGTAAATGAGATGGAACACAGTTGATAGTTTCCTGCTCTGTCACTGTAAATGAGATGGAACACAGTTGATAGTTCCTGCTCTATCACTGTAAATGAGATGGAACACAGTTGATAGTTTCCTGCTCTGTCACTGTAAATGAGATGGAACACAGTTGATAGTTTCCTGCTCTATCACTGTAAATGAGATGGAACACAGTTGATAGTTTCCCGCTCTGTCACTGTAAATGAGATGGAACACAGTTGATAGATTCCTGCTCTATCACTGTAAATGAGATGGAACACAGTTGATCGATTCCTGCTCTATCACTCTAAATGAGATGGAACACAGTTTATAGTTTCCTGCTCTATCACTGTAAGTGAGATGGAACACAGTTGATAGTTTCCTGCTCTATCACTGTAAATGAGATGGAACACAGTTGATAGTTTCCTGCTCTATCACTGTAAATGAGATGGAACACAGTTGATAGTTTCCTGCTCTATCACTGTAAATGAGATGGAACACAGTTGATCGATTCCTGCTCTGTCACTGTAAATGAGATGGAACACAGTTGATAGTTTCCTGCTCTATCACTGTAAATGAGATGGAACAGTTTATAGATTCCTGCTCTGTCACTGTAAATGAGATGGAACACAGTTGATAGTTTCCTGCTCTGTCACTGTAAATGAGATGGAACACAGTTGATAGTTTCCTGCTCTGTCACTGTAAATGAGATGGAACACAGTTGATAGTTTCCTGCTCTATCACTGTAAATGAGATGGAACACAGTTGATAGTTTCCTGCTCTGTCACTGTAAATGAGATGGAACACAGTTGATAGTTTCCTGCTCTATCACTGTAAATGGGATGGAACACAGTTGATAGTTTCCCGCTCTGTCACTGTAAATGAGATGGAACACAGTTTATAGATTCCTGCTCTATCACTGTAAATGAGATGGAACACAGTTGATAGATTCCTGCTCTATCACTGTAAATGAGATGGAACACAGTTTATAGTTTCCTGCTCTATCACTGTAAATGAGATGGAACAGTTTATAGATTCCTGCTCTGTCACTGTAAATGAGATGGAACACAGTTTATAGATTCCTGCTCTATCACTGTAAATGAGATGGAACACAGTTGATAGTTTCCCGCTCTATCACTGTAAATGAGATGGAACACAGTGTAAATACTGGGTTGTTGTTCAGTATTATACTATACATGAATCTACACATTGTTTTTAAAATGTGCAAAATGAATTATGCTCTGCATAATTATCCACATGCGCGCGCGCACACACACACAGACGCACACACACACACAAACTTCTGACTTTTCCTGGAAGCTCAGTTACAGTGAACAAGCCTCTAAGTACCCTGTCCCACTCAGAACCCCCACACCCTTTATTCCTGTGTGTGTGTGTGTGTGTGTGTGTGTGTGTGTGTGTGTGTGTGTGTGTGTGTGTGTGTGTGTGTGTGTGTGTGTGTGTGTGTGGATACACACATCAGGTTTCCTAATGTAACACATGCCTTCAGTAAATGTCCGCATGGAAAATCAGAGCTCCTGTTTCAGTCATTATCCATCGTTTGGAAACACTTCAGACTCCAGAGATACACTAACCTAGCATAACCTAATCATCACACAGAGATTGGGGGAGGAGAGGAGAGGGAGAGACAGAGGAGAGAGAGGGGTGACTGCTGAGAGAAGAGGAGAGGATGGAGAGGGTGAGAAGGGGAGAGGGAGAGAGAGACATACGCCCAGGCCGTGAGCAGAGCAACAGGCACAATCCCCACTCCTACACCTGTCCAAGCCCCATCCTGCGACTTAAGAGGCATTCAGCAGATGCTCAGCATGCTCTGCTCAAACCTAATGGTCTGTGCCTAAACCACACAAATTACAACACTGGACACTACGGACCACAGAGCATCCTGAAATATACCAGATCTGAGGTCATCTGCCTTTGGCCTAAAGACCAGGAACCCAGACTTCATCAAAGAAATCAGAAATACAGACATTGGCATCTTGCAAGAAACATGGTATAGAAGACATTGACCAACTGGTTGCCCTCTAGGTTACAGAGAGCTGGTAGTCCCATCCACCAAACTACCAGGTGTGAAACAGGGAAGAGATTCAGGGGGTATGCTAATTCGGTATAGAGCAGACCTAACCCACTCTATTAAATTAGTCAAAACAGGAATATTTTACATTTGGCTAGAAATTAAAAGGAAATAATCTCAACAGAGAAAAATGTCCTCCTGTGTGCTACCTATATCCCCCCACTAAAATCCCCATACTTTAATGAAGACAGCTTCTCCATCCTAGAGGGGAAGATCAACCATTTCCAGGCCCAGGGACATGTACTAGTCTGTGGTGACCTAAACGCCAGAACTGGACAAGAACCCAACATTCTCAGCACACAGGGGGACAAGCACCTACCTGGAGGTGACAGCATTCCTTCCCAAAATATGCCTCCCTAGACACAACTACGACAAAACAACCAACAAAAAATGTGTCACAACTCCTGCAGCTCTGTCGCACGCTGTGTCTGTTCATAGTCAATTGTTAGCTTCGAGGGGGCTCCTACGGTAGGTACACCTACAGCTTATCCCTTGGCAGTAGTAGACTACTTAATCACCGACCAATCCAGTCTCTCAGAGCATTCACAGTCAAATCAAATCAAATCAAATCAAATTTTATTGGTCACATGCGCCGAATACAACAGGTGCAGACATTACAGTGAAATGCTTACTTACAGCCCTTAACCAACAATGCATTTATTTTTAACAAAAAAAGTAAAAATAAAACAACAACAAAAAAAGTGTTGAGAAAAAAAGAGCAGAAGTAAAATAAAATAACAGTAGGGAGGCTATATATACAGGGGGGGTACCGGTGCAGAGATCACAGCGAAATCACAATCTACTTGAACAGAGTAATACTCAACCATGAGTTATCGAAGCTGAACAATAAATCCCTCCCAGGCAACTTCCTATTGAAGGTGTAAACTTAGCAGTAGGAAGCCTGAACAGTATATTTGACCTATCAGCTAACATACTGTATCAAATAAATAAAATGTATAGCAGAAAACTAACAACAATGAGAAATGATTTGATGAAGAAAGCAAAAACCATGGAAAGAAATTGAGAAACCTACCCAACCAAAAACACAGAGACCCAGAAAACCATAACCTATGCCTTCACTATGGTGAAACACTAAAACAGTACAGAAATACACAAAGAAGTAACAGCGAGTCAGAAATCAGCTCAATGTGATTGAAGAATCCATAGAATCAAATCACTTCTGGGAAAATTGGAGCACACTAAACAAACAACAACACGAAGTGCTATCTATCCAAAATGGAGATGTATGAATTAACCACTTCTCCAACCTTTTCAGCCATATAACAAAGAACCGAGAGTAAAAACATATACATGATCACTTTTCCTCAGTGAAAACAATGTCCTGAGCAAATGTCAAATTGGCTTCTTACCTAAATCTCATACGACAGACCACATATACACCTTGCACACCCTAATTGACAAACAAACCAACCAAAACATGCTTTGTTGATTCAAAAAAGCTTTTGACTCAATTTGACATGAGGGTCTGCTTTACAAATTGATGGAAAGCCGTGTTGGGGGGAAAACATATGACATTATAAAATCAATGTACACAAACAACAAGTGTGCAGTTAAAATTGGCAAAAAACACACATTTATTTCCACAGGGCCGTGGGGTGAGACAGGGATGCAGCTTGAGCCCCACCCTCTTCAACATATACAGTGGGGAGAACAAGTATTTGATACACTGCCGACTTTGCAGGTTTTACTACTTACAAAGCATGTAGAGGTCTGTAATTTTTATCATAGGTACACTTCAACTGTGAGAGAGGGAATCTAAAACAAAAATCCAGAAAATCACATTTGCATTTTATTGCATGACATAAGTATTTGATCACCTACCAACCAGTAAGAATTCCGGCTCTCACAGACCTGTTAGTTTTTCTTTAAGAAGCCCTCCTGTTCTCCACTCATTACCTGTATTAACTGCACCTGTTTGAACTTGTTACCTGTATAAAAGACACCTGTCCACACACTCAATCAAACAGACTCCAACCTCTCCACAATGGCCAAGACCAGAGAGCTGTGTAAGGACATCAGGGATAAAATTGTAGACCTGCACAAGGCTGGGATGGGCTACAGGACAATAGGCAAGCAGCTTGGTGAGAAGGCAACAACTGTTGGCGCAATTATTAGAAAATGGAAGAAGTTCAAGATGACGGTCAATCACTCTCGGTCTGGGGCTCCATGCAAGATCTCACCTCATGGGGCATCAATGATCATGAGGAAGGTGAGGGATCAGCCCAGAACTACACGGCAGGACCTGGTCAATGACCTGAAGAGAGCTGGGACCACAGTCTCAAAGAAAACCATTAGTAACACACTACGCCTTCATGGATTAAAATCCTGCAGCGCATGCAAGGTCCCCCTGCTCAAGCCAGCGCATGTCCAGGCCCGTCTGAAGTTTGCCAATGACCATCTGGATGATCCAGAGGAGGAATGGGAGAAGGTCATGTGGTCTGATGAGACAAAAATAGAGCTTTTTGGTCTAAACTCCACTCGCCGTGTTTGGAGGAAGAAGAAGGATGAGTACAACCCCAAGAACACCATCCCAACCGTGAAGCATGGAGGTGGAAACATCATTCTTTGGGGATGCTTTTCTGCAAAGGGGACAGGACGACTGCACCGTATTGAGGAGAGGATGGATGGGGCCATGTATCGCGAGATCTTGGCCAACAACCTCCTTCCCTCAGTGAGAGCAATGAAGATGGGTCGTGGCTGAGTCTTCCAGCATGACAACGACCCGAAACACACAGCCAGGGCAACTAAGGAGTGGCTCCGTAAGAAGCATCTCAAGGTCCTGGAGTGGCCTAGCCAGTCTCTAGACCTGAACCCAATAGAAGGGAGCTGAAAGTCTGTATTGCCCAGCAACAGCCCCGAAACCTGAAGGATCTGGAGTCTGTAATGAGGGTGGGCCAATCCTCTGCAGTGTGTGCAAACCTGGTCAAGACCTACAGGAAACGTATGATCTCTGTAATTGCAAACAAAGGTTTCTGTACTAAATATTAAGTTCTGCTTTTCTGATGTATCAAATACTTATGTCATGCAATAAAATGCAAATGAATTACTTAAAAATCATACAATGTGATTTTCTGGATTTTTGTTTTAGATTCCGTCTCTCACAGTTGAAGTGTACCTATGATAAACATTACAGACCTCTACATGCTTTGCAAATAGGAAAACCTGCAAAATCGGCAGTGTATCAAATACTTGTTCTCCCCACTGTATATCAACAAATTGGCAAGGGCACTAGAACAGTCTGCAGCACCCGGCCTCACCCTACTAGACTGAAATCAAATGTCTACTGTTTGAAGATGATCTGGTGCTTCTGTCCCCAACCAGCGTCTGCTAAATGGCATATTATTATTATTATTAACCAAGGAGGGCCTACAGGGTGATTGGGAGTCCCATAGGGCGGCGCACAATTGGCCTAGTGTCGTCCGGGTTTGGCCGGTGTAGGCCATCATTGTAAATAAGAATTTGTTCTTAACTCAATTGCCTAGTTAAATAAAGGTTACATTTAAATTAAAAAAATTATAAAAACAGCAGCACCTAGATCTTCTGCACAGATTCTGTCAGACCTGGGCCCTGACAGTAAATCTCAGTAAGACAAAAATAATGGTGTTCCAAAAAAAGGTCCAGTTGCCAGGACAACAAATACAAATTCTATCTAGACACCATTGCCCTATGTCATATCAAAATCTTCCCAGAGTGAAATAGTTCCCAGTAGTTCTGATCGTTCTGATTGTGACGTCATGCTGTAAAATTTCTCACAGCGTGAATATGTTCCCAGTTCAATAATTGCATCTCTTTATGTGGATGTTCCTCTCACCCTCCCTCGACGTCGAAAAACTGTTCTGTGAGCACGCGCATCTGCCAATCAATGGTGGCCAGGAGTATTGACTCCGACCAATCAGAAGCTTGTTGAGGCGTGAGGTTAGCATATAAATACCCGGACTCGCGCGTCGAAGTGCTGAGGGTTGATGTGAGGAGAGATTTTTTGCGATTGCAAAGACTTTGGCGCTACGTTTTCGATTGACAGTGCATATATTTGTTTGTTAGTTAGTTAGATATACAAAGAAGTTAAAACGGCACACCTCTGAGAACAAGCCACCTCGACCATTTTACAGCTAATTATGCTAGTTAGCTAGATAAATCAAGGGCAAGGGGATGTGAGAGAAACATCTGCACGAGCTCAGAAATCCACACAGACGCGCGTGAAAATGTTTACAACATGACGTCACAATCACAACACAATCGGAACGATTGGGAACTATTTCACGCTGGGAAGATTTTTACATGACAACTTAGAGTACGCAAAGAATTATACCTACTTCGACCTAAACATCAACGCCACAGGTAACTTCCACAAGGCTGTGAACGATCTAAGAGACAAGGCAAGAAGGGCTTTCTATGCCATCAAAAGGAACATAAAACTTGACATCCCAATTAGGATCTGGCTAAAAATACAATCAGTTATAGAACCCATTGCTTTCTACTGTTGTGAGGTCTGGGGTCCACTCACCAACCAACACTTCACGAAATGGGACAATCACCCAATTGAGTCTGCATGCAGAATTCTGCTAAAATATCCTTCATGTTCAATGCAAAACCCCAAACAATGCATGCAGAGCAGAATTAGGACTAATTATTAAAATCTAGAAAAAATAGCTGTGAAAAAGGAAGCCATGCCCACACATCTCACCACAAAGCCCTCACCTACAGAGATTAACCGAGAGAAGAGTCCCCTCAGCCAGCTGGTTCTAGGGTTCTGTTCACAAACACAAACAGAGCCCCAGGACAGCAACACAATTAGACCCAACCAAATTATGAGAAAAATATATATAACTATTTGACACACTGGAAAGAATCAACCAAAAAACAGCAAACTAAAATGCTATCTTTCCCTCAACAGAGAGCACACAGTAACAGAATACCTGACCACTGTGACTGACCCAAAATACAAAAAATCCTTGACTACGTACAGACTCAGTGTGCATAGCCTTGCTATTGAGAGAGGCCACACTAGGCAGACCTGGCTCTCGACAGAAGACAGGCAATGTGCACACTGCCCACGGAATTAGGTGGTAACTGAGCTGCACTTCCTTACCTCCTGCCAAATGTATGACCATATTAGAGACACACATTTACCTCAGATTACACAGACCCACAAAGGATTTGAAAACAAATCAAATATTGATAAACTCCCATATCTGTTAGGCAAAATACCGCAGTGTGCAATCACAGCAGAAAACACCATGAAAACAGGGCAACCAGTGGAGCACAAACAACATTGTAAATACAACCAATATTTATCTGTTTACTGTCTTCCTCTACTATGTTAAAAACACTGTACATAGCTGATAATAACATTTGAAACGTCTTTATCCTTTTGAAACCTTTGTGTTCAATGTTTACTGGACATTTTTTAGTTTTTTTGTTGATGTAGTTTATTAATTATTTCACTTGCTTTGGCAATGTAAACATATGTTTCCCATGTCAATAAAGCCCCTTTGAAGAGAGAGAGAAAGAGAGAGAGAGAGACTTCTGAGAGAAGAGGGAAGGAGGGTAAGAGAGAATGTGTGTGTGTGTGTGCTTGTGTGAGTGTGTGTACTTACGATGAGTCCCGTCCTCTTCCTAGCACACAGCACTCCACACATCCCACAGATTAGAAACTGAGAGAGAGAGAAAAAGAAAAAACAGATCAGAACTGGTTCATAACATAATCAGATCCGAATCCAAACTGGTTCACAACCGGCTTTCATTGGTAGGCGCGCGCAAAAGTAATCCGAGGGGGAGACAGATGTAGAGAGGGAGCGCCTGCTCACTGTATGAGGGATTCTTGAAAGACGGGACAATCTCAACTTTTTTTTCACAAATATTTGTTCTGCAATTTTAACATTTTAAATACAGATTTTGATAGACAAATGTATCAGCTATCACACCATGTAAAGGAATAACCCCCTGATTTTTAAAATATTTTTTCATTAAATGCAACTAACTGGATTTAGGTCAACTCGGGACACTATAAAAGGCATTCCATTTGTACAATTATTGTCCAACAAGTTTTTAAAGGCCTTGATTATTTAATTCTAACATTAGATTATTCAAATATGTTATACAAATCTTCAAACTTTTTTTGTTTTGATTTATAGCACTATTAAATGCTCCAGGGCTAATTTCGTAAACATTTTGGCATGTTTTTCTAGATTTAGAACATACAGTGCCTTCATAATGTATTCACACCCCTTGACTTTTTCCACATTCTGTTGTGTTAAAGCCTACATTTAAAATGGATTAAATTGAGATTTTGTGTCACTGGCCTACACACAATACCCCATAATGTCAAAGTGTAATGATGTTTTTACAAATTAATTAAAAATGAAAAGCTGATATGTCTTGAGTCAATAAGTATTCAAACCATTTCTTATGGCAAGCCTACATAAGTTCAGGAGTAAAGATTTGCTTAACAAGTCACATAATAAGTTGCATGTTTGCAATAATAGTGTTTAACATCATTTTTGAATGACTACCTCATCTCTGTACCCCACACATACAATTATCTGTAAGGTATCTCAGTCGAGCAGTGAAAACGTAACACATTTGAGTTTTTTAAATAAATATCAGGCAGATGGAGTTGACAGTTTATGGTTGTGACCATGGTGATTCCAATATTGTTTGTTTAAATCTATCAAAAGCAGAGAACTTTACAGATCATGTTGCACTAATGAGTAAATTAAGAAGGGGTCCTTATGGTATAGCTGACCCTGCTCATTCCTGATTAATTTAGGATTTAGACAATTCTGAAGGAGTTGACCAAATCTCCTGACACATCTTTTAGGAATCACAGTTTTGAGAAAAATATTATTTAAAGTCACAGAGGGCTATTGCCAGAAACTAAATGACATCATATCCTTTTTCAGTTAATATCCATTATTGACATTTGTTTTGGTTGAGAGTTTGAAATTGGCATCCTTTGCTCCAGACAAGGGCATTTCCAGGCATAGAGCCGACATGGAAATAAATAATATATATTTTTAATTAACATTCACACCCAACGCACACACGCACGCACGCACACACACACACACACAGACACACACACACACACACACACAGACAGATAGTAAACTAAAAGCTCTACGTACACACATGCCGCTCCAGACGGGAGAAGCGTCTCCTTGCTGCGGCTTGTGTTCCTCCCTGATCCGGCTGAGCCCCACGGCTCCCAGGACGATACTGGCCACCCCCAGACCCACCTCCAACACTGACAGCAGCAGCAGGCTCCACAGGATCTTCCGGCTGGAGCACATACTGACCGGGCATCCTCCTAGGTCGGCTTCAGTCAGGAAGGCACACTGGTCGGCAGCAAAATGTTTTGAAACGAAAACAAGTGTTTCTTAGGCTACTCCCCGGAAAACAGTCACTACCCTGATTAAATAAAGATGAACTGAAATGGATAAGTTCACGTACCTCCCTGTGACATCCCGTTTTTAAAAGAAGTCCCTTGTTTTTTGTGCCAACTAGCAACCCGAGCCTGGAGGAGCCGGAGTCCGCCTGTCAGCCCTCGGCGGGTGGCATGATGTTAGTCCATATCCCGGTGCTCCAAGAAAGTTATGGACAGGAGATCAGGAAATTATGTAAAGTCGTTTTTTATTTTTATCAATGAGACTAACCTGCATGAACAAAGACTAGATTCTCATTTCCAAATCCAAAAGTGATTAGTCTCTGACGCTGAAAACCGGAGCTCCCCCGGTCAATACTGAGAGGAGAGCGTGCTGCTCTAAACTTCCCGCTGGTCGGTCGTTAACGAGACTGGCTCGCGGTTGCTGTCCATGGTGCTTAAACGCTTGCACAGACCTTCTGCGACCTGACCAAAAAGCCCTCCAGTTCTCTCTCTCTCTCCTCTCTCTCTCTCTCTCTCCTCTCTCTCCTCTCTCACTCTCTCTCTCTCTTCTCTCTCCTCTCTCTCTCTCTCTCACACACACACACACAGAGACTCCCCTCAGACAGTGGGACACCTCCTCCTCCTGTCTTTCAGTTTAGTTTAGACTCTAGAGACTCTCCGGACCCCGTGTGACTCCCGGGCAGATTCACAGACAGGAGCTGGTGTCATTAGCACAACCCTGGTAAATACAATAACAGTGGACTTATCTTTCTCTTAAAGTCACACACACTGAACTGAACTGAACTGCCAACCCCCATAGACAGTAGCCTACACACACTGAACTGAACTGAACTGCCAACCCCCAGAGACAGTAGCCTACACACACTGAATTGAACTGAACTGTCAACCCCCATAGACAGTAGCCTACACACACTGAACTGAACTGCCTACCCCCACAGACAGTAGCCTAAACACACTGAACTGAACTGAACTGAACTGCCAACCCCCATAGACAGTAGCCTACACACACGCTGAACTGAACTGAACTGCCAACCCCCACAGACAGTAGCCTACACACACTGAACTGAACTGAACTGCCAACCCCCAGAGACAGTAGCCTACACACACTGAACTGAACTGAACTGCCAACCCCCACAGACAGTAGCCTACACACACTGAACTGAACTGAACTGCCAACCCCCAGAGACAGTAGCCTACACACACTGAACTGAACTGAACTGCCAACCCCCACAGACAGTAGCCTACACACACCTGTAATGATGTGTAGAGGAGTGAAATAATGATGTTGCAGTTCCTGGTCATTGTGCCTAAATGGGAATTCTGGCTCTGAACAGGTAGTTTGTTTGGGAGAAGCAGGAGCCCATTCAACATATGCACAACCTAGACAAAAGCCTAAATGTAAAAGTATATCTGTTTGATGAAAATTTACCATATTGTACTTGTGACTTGAAAATGAAAGTCTTATTTTTGCCTTTTGGTAGCAGCTGTTTTCCTGTTGGAGCACAAACCTCTTCTTTATCTTTCTAAATCAATCCACCTTTTTCAGTTTGCCATGCTACCTCGTTGTATTCTTGTTGATGCTGATCTGTCTTCACCTCTTCAATAGGCCTCCTGATGACTCTGGCCCACTGTTTAACCCTGTTACATAAAGGTCAGTTCCCGTGCGCCTCTGCTCTCTCTCCTGTGTGTAGTTACAGTGTAATGAATGGACTGATGCTATCTAAGAAACATAGATTATTAACGTAACAGCTTTTTACTGTTACAAATTAATATTCAGTAAAAATTAGGATGCCTGGAGGGGGGAGGGGGTCTGACAAAGCACTCAATATACATATTTATTTCTCTCGCTCTCTCTCTCTCTCTCTCTCTCTCTCTCTCTCTCTCTCTCTCTCTCTCTCTCTCTCTCTCTCTCTCTCTCTCTCTCTCTCTCTCTCTCTCTCTCTCTCTCTCAATTCAATTTAAGGGCTTTATTGGTATGGGAAACATATGTTAACATTGCCAAAGCAAGTGAAATAGATAATAAACAAAAGTCAAATAAACAAGAAATATTAACAGTAAACATTACACTCACAAAAGTTCCAAAAGAATAAAGACATTTCAAATGTCATATTATGTGCAAATAGTTAAAGTACAAAAGGGAAAATAAATAAACATAAATATGGGTTGTATTTACAATGGTGTTTGTTCTTCACTGGTTGACCTTTCCTTGTGGCAACAGGTCACAAATCTTGCGGCTGTGATGGCACACTGTGGTATTTCACCCAGTAGATAAGGGAGTTTATCAAAATTGGGTTTGTTTTCGAATTCTTTGTGGATCTGTTTAATCTGAGGGAAATATGTGTCTCTAATATGGTCATACATTTGGCAGGGGGTTAAGAAGTGCAGCTCAGTTTCCGCCTCATTTTGTGGGCAGTGTGCACATAGCCTGTCTTCTCTTGAGAGCCAGGTCTGCCTACGGCGGCCTCTCTCAATAGCAAGGCTATGCTCACTGAGTCTGTACATAGTCAAAGCTTTCCTTAAGTTTGGGTCAGTCACAGTGGTCAGGTATTCTGCCACTGTGTGCTTAGGGCAAAATATAAAAAATGTTATTAATTCTTTCCAATGTGTCAAGTAATTCTCTTTTTGTTTTCTCATGATTTGGTTGGGTCTAATTGTGTTGCTGTCCTGGGGCTCTGTGGGGTCTGTGTTTGTGAACAGAGCCCCAGGACCAGCTTGCTCTTCTCCAGGTTAATCTCTCTGTAGGTGATGGCTTTGTTATGGAAGGTTTGGGAATCACTTCCTTTTAGGTGGTTCTAGAATTTAATGGCTCTTCTCTGGATTTTGATAATTAGCGGGTATCGGCCTAATTCTGCTCTGCATGCATTATTTGGAGTTTTACGTTGTACACAGAGGATATTTTTGCAGAATTCTGCGTGCAGAGAGAAATAGAGAGAGAGAAAGAGAGAGGGAGAGAAAGAGAGAAGGAGTGAGAGAGAGAGACAGAGAGAGAGAGACAGAGAGAGAGAGAAAGAGAGAGGGAGAAAGGGAAGAGAGAGAAGAGAGGGAGAGAGACCAAAATATGATGTCCTCTCCAATTAATCACGGTATCAGACCTGCTGAGATCAATCTGTGTGTGTGTCTGTGTCTGTGTGTGTGTGTGTCTGTGTGTCTGTGTCTGTGTGTCTGTGTGTCTGTGTGTCTGTGTGTGTGGGGTCCAACTAGCGTCTGTTTTCTCTCGCAGCTCTGCTCTGCTCTCGTGGATGTATTAACTCCTATTAAAATCACCCTAAAAGAAGTGTGTGTGTGTGTCTGTGTGTGTTTGTGTCTCACAGGACAGGGCGGCTTACTCCCCAATGAGAATCAGGATATTTTTTGACCCCCCCCACTCACATATGAACTCCCTATGGGTTCAAACCCTGAGACTATAGGCCAGGGTTTCTCAAACTCAGTCCTCGGGACCCCAAGGGGTGCAGGTTTTGATTTTTTGTCACGCCCTGACGTATGGGACTCTAGTATGTTGAGTCAGGGTGTGGAGTTCTATGTTGTATTTTCTATGTTCTCTTTCTAGGTTGTGTATTTCTATGTTTGGCCGGGTGTGATTCCCAATCAGAGACAGCTGTCGCTCATTGTCTCTGATTGGGGATCATACTTAAGTAGCCTTTTGGCACTCATTAGTTGTGGGATCTTGTTCCGTGTGTAGGCTTGTTTTGTGTTTAGCCTGAGGACGTCACGTTTCGTTGGTTTGTTGTTTTGTTCGTGTGTTTATCGTTGAAATAAACATGTATGCATTTCACGCTGCGCCTTGGTCTGACCCGTCCTTAAACGAACGTGACAGAAGATCCCACCAAAAATGGACCAAGCAGCGTGCCCAGGAGCAGACATCCTGGACATGGGAGGAGATCCTGGAAGGAAAGGGATCCTGGACATGGGAGGAGATTCAGGCTGGGATGGATCACCGTCCTTGGGAGGAGACAGTAGAGGCCCGGTATAGAGAGGAGCAACGGCAACGCAGAAGGCGCCGGCCGAGGAGGAAGCCCGAGAGACAGCCCCAAGAACATTTTTTGGGGGGGCTAAAAGGGTAGTCGGGGATCGATGGATAAGAGCCCCGACCACTGCACTCGTGGGGGCTCAGGGAGGAGTCCTCACGGGAGGAGGACTGGGCGCGGAGAGTGTAAGACAGTCGGAGATCTCTAACGTCAGTTCCCAGTCCGGCACACCTCGTGCCTGCGTCTCGCACCAAGCTAGTGGTGCGTGTGCCCAGTCCGGCCCGGCCTGTTCCTGTTCCTCGCACCAAGCCAGTGGTGCGTGTTCCCAGTCCGGTACGGCCCGTGCCTGCTCATCGCATCAGACCTGTGGTGCGTGTCTCCAGTCCGGCCCGGCCCGTTCCTGCTCATCGCATCAGACCAGTGGTGCGTGTTCCCAGTCCGGCCCGGCCCGTGCCTGCTCCCCGCACCAAACCAGTGGTGTGTGTTCCCAGTCCGGCCCGGCCCGTTCCTGCTCCTCGCACCAGACCAGTGGTGCGTGTTCCCAGCCCGGTACGGCCCGTGCCGGCTGAGAGAATGTGGTCGTCACGCCCGGATCCGCCTCCGAGGCGGAATGCCCACCCGGACCCTACCCTGTTATGTAAGGTTTGTGCGGTCGGAGTCCGCACCTTTGGGGGGGGGGGGTTACTGTCACGCCCTGACTTATGGGACTCTAGTATGTTGAGTCAGGGTGTGGAGTTCTATGTTGTATTTTCTATGTTCTCTTTCTAGGTTTGTATTTCTATGTTTGGCCGGGTGTGATTCCCAATCAGAGACAGCTGTCGCTCATTGTCTCTGGGGATTGGGGATCATACTTAAGTAGCCTGTTGGCACTCATTAGTTGTGGGATCTTGTTTCCGTGTGTAGGCTTGTTTTGTGTTTAGCCTGAGGACGTCACGTTTCG